CCTATGAATAGTTTGTCTTCCTGTGGTTAAATCAGCATTTTGCTTTAACTTTTTAAGAATCCAATTCAAACTGGAATGAAGAGAGACAAAATATAAGGACAAACAAGTTTGTGCAGAACTGAGGTATTACTTTTAAAGAAGGATGAGCTCACACAACATACAAGGTTGCTTTAGGGGGACTGGAGGTAGATCATGGATTATCCTACAAACTCACCATGCTCCAGTAGATACCCAGTAGTCTCCCTGACCACCAGAGGAATGGGGTTCTGGTCTGAGCTCTTCTCCTTTAAGCTATTGGAAAAACAAGAAACTTAGACCCTTCTTTTCCTTCTCTCCAGATCATTCAACTGAAAGGTGTACACAGAAGAGCTTTAGACAATGGGCAGTAGGACTCTGAAAGCTACAAGAACTTTTGCATCTGAGAAACAAAGAAGAGTTCAGGGGTGGAAATTACTGATTTTACTGACCGAAATTCCAAAAAACCTGACCAAATACTGACAAATTACTGAACAATTTAATGTCAGCCTACTGATAAGCTAGCGTTTTAAATGTAAAACTAGGACTTCATTAAAATTATTATTATCTGGCCTCCACCAGCCCCATAGCCAGCCCCATAGTTAGATATGACCCAGATAAAAGGATTGCACACCTTTTTATTAGAATTTTTTTATGAATGGAGGACAATGTTTTCATTATTGTACAAAATTTAAGGCAAAAGATTCCCTTTAAAAATTATCACATACTGCAGATAATAAAACAGCAAAACAGCAAAAACATTAAAAACCAAAGTAATAATTACGACAACAAAACATAAGTACCGTAAGGTAAGACATGTCTTTGCTTTTACTTTATCTTTGGTTTTTTGATGAAAAAAGAACCGGCCAGCCGCCTGCCATCCCCGGTGGAGGCCGTGTCAGGCTGGGCACTGGAACACCCTAGACTAATTGTCCTGAGTGATTTCAATGTCCATGCGGATGATGTGGCCTCCACTCAGGCGATGGACTCAGTGTCATCCGTGGTGGCATTGGGACTCTCCCAATACGTAACGACTCCCACTCACCGGGCCGTACACACGCTCGATCTGATCTTCGCGGCAGGGGTCACAGTGGACCGGGTCACTGCTTCAGCAGTGCCATGGTTGGACCATCATGCACTGAAGGCCCAGCTGAATGTTTCACCCAACCCTGTTTGGGTGGTGAGCAGATTTCAGCTCACCCGCGGAGCCAAATGGACCCTATTATCAGGTTCCCAGTCAAATCGCTCTCCACACACACTTTGGCAGTGAATGCTTTATTTGTTTATTTAGATATATGAGATGCTGAGTTCAAGCTCCTTGTTAGGACTAATTTGCAAAGGCGGGAAAATACAACATATAGGTAAAAGCCCCAAATCCCAAGCATACCTACGTCAGCATTTCTGCAGCGACTCAGACAGACCACCAGGTCACCTTATCTATCCTAGCCAAGCACCAGTCTTCACCAAGGGCATTCTCATGAGAAAGATGTTTTGGGGCCTCCTCAGGAAAGTTACCAGGCGCTACTCCCTAATGTGCTAACTCCCCCCCCCCTTAGGAATGCAATGGCGAGGGCAACAATAAAGATACAGACAGGGTGAGAAGAGGGAAAGGAAGAATACAGCAATACAATAGAAATGCCAGATGCCAGAGCTTGACACCTGCGTGGCTTCAAATGGCCCTATGGGATCAGATGCCCCTGGTGGCTCGTTAGATGAGCTTGTGGAGGATTGGCACAGCTGACTCTCAGCAGCCATCAATGAGATCGCTCCCCAACACCCTCTGCACCCTCACTCTAGGCTGGCTCCTTGGTTTACCCAGGAGTTTTATTTTATTTATTTTATTTATTTATTTATTTATTAAACTTATATCCCACCCTCCCCCGTAG